CGGCAATAGGCCTCCGTGTTACACTCCTCATTATAGTTCACCTGGTTACTTGCTCAGGATATTAGCACATCAATAGGACGAATGCGTCATAAGTAGGAATATATCCATTGAATATGATATCTAAATGTTCGAATCTTCTTAAAAGGACTCCGGACTAAAGATGACAGAAGCGGCACCACCAGGATGGGATTTGGCCGAAGCAAACATCGAAAGGCGAGTTGGTCGAACCCTTAATGTACTAAACTAATTTTCGGCCTGCTAGAAGCTTTTCTTCAGAAAGCGGTGATCGTTCTCATCTTAGCAAAGGTAGGGGTTTAGTTCGATCGTGTGAAAGACGAGGTTAATCACTGTCTCACTGCTTAATTGAATTACTTCAGCTTGAAATCGAAAAAAGTGCGCCCAGTAACTAAACCCTCCACCTCCACAAGTCGCCGCCAGGTATGTTCTCGCGAAGAAAGTTGTCTCTAACTCTATTAAGGGTAGAAGAATAATCCAATAATGTTAACCCATACGCACACTACGATCGCGGTAAAAATAGACTGAAAGGTATGCGTACCAACATTCAACGAACTTGCATTTTAATGTAAATGCAAATTGTGGGGCACAAACTAGCTTAAAGGAGATTGCATTTAGGACGGTTTGTTCACTAAGCTTCCAGAACGGAAGAGCTACTGAACAGGGGAAGTGACGGAATGACTAGGACATATAATTGATGATTTTTCAGAGATAGAGCCAAGCCCCAATGTTTATAGCTTTTAGTGAAAGAAACTTGCATAGGAAGCAAGCTCAAAAAAGTAGGAGTTGGTTGAAGACGGCGACGTTGTCAGATCCAGCGGTGGTCAAACCACCGAATTCTGAACACGTTTTTCAAATTCAGCAACCGCACCTGCCCTAGCGACAAATTAGAATCATGTTAACGAAGTTCGTTGAGAAGTGAGATTTTTCTGTGTCTACGCATAGGTGGAATATTAAGAAACTGTAAACAAATAGGAGGAATAATAAGGACGAAAAATCTGATCGGCAAAGATAGAGTTACCCGTGGAAAGTTTGGTTTAAGGGATTTTTCTCCCTCGTTTTACCATCCCCAGGTTAATGTTTCTTAACGTAATAAAATTGGCACCTACAGGCAACAGTTTATTGGGTGCACAACAAGAATCAAAGGCCGAATTTAAAATGATTTAGAAAAGTAGCCCAGGAGTAGACATTTGACTATTTTAAGGAAATCAGAATCATATGGACACGTTACTTTCGAAAAAGAGGAAGCATCATGGTGGGAGTAACCTTGTACTTTGCCCCACATAACACTGCCAGCCTATACTTGCAGTAGACTTTGCACTCCTTAATAAGAATGGGTAATTAGACTCGATTAAGAGAGTCCTACTTTTGAAACGAAAAGCCTAAGAGAATTATTGAAAACTTATTTGGTCCTAGCATCCACATTATGAAGGTTAAGTAGATTTTCATGGCATAGGGGCGTGGCTGGATAGCATGATAATCGTCATGCAAAATTTGCATCCTTTATTTGATCTTATTGTAATATACTCGGCGGCCTGGGTGGAATTTCAGTCCAGGACGACAAACGACAGTTTGACCGTCGGTTCCTACGATATCTACTACGAGCCTCAACGAGTTGAAGCACGCGGTGACTGCAGCTGGATTATAGTGAAGGTAGACTCACCGGATCTACCCCACTCTCTGACCACTACCGCACCGGGAACCGGTTGTCAAGAGAGAGTCAAAAAAGCCGGAAATGCCTGAGGTTGCAGACGGCTGGCACAACCAACACTCAACACGCGTACCAAACAGCACGTCTCACTGGTGTGCTTCCGACAGGGAGCGCCATAACGGCCACATTAAGAAGGAGCCATTGAATCTGACTCTCAACCCGCAGACATCCA